CCCAGAACAACCACATCTACCTCCATGAATCCTGTGTAAGGTACATCTAGCCCATTGGCTGCCTTAAGCCCCAACCACTTACAATTTTTCCTCTGCATATGACTAAAATGCTTGTTAAAGAAACTCTCTGTTACAGTTGTAACCATCGATCCAGTATCAACTAAACATGGGACTACCATCCCACCCATCACCACACTCAACACCGGGCACTTTCCCACTAACTGACCCAGTGAGGATAAACATGCAGAGCCAGTGTCCTCCCCTCCCAGTGTGTGACACTGGGGGGGGGTCTAGTTTCCCAACTGGCTAGTAGTACTACTGGCCAGGGGTACTGACTGACTGGTAGGGTCCTCAGTTAGCAAAAGAGAAACTGGCCTACTATTTCTCGGATGGGGAACATACTGGCAATACCGAGCTATATGGCCTGGCTGATCACACTTAATACAAATTGGCTGATCATCAGCCGTCCGTTTAAAACGGCCAGCTCGGTAGGACTGAGGAGCCTGGAATTTGCCATGAGGCTGCCCTAGATGTTTAACCAGAAGGTCAAGTTGGGCTTGTTGTTTTAAGACCATCTCTTTTAACTCTGCTACTTCCAATGTCTGAGCAACGGTGACTTCGCACTGAGATATGTAAGTGGTCTCACTACTGCGCCCAGGAGCACGAGGACCTTGGTCACGGCTAGACTGCCCCTCTTCCACCCATCTAGTGGCCTCACGTCTCATTTCCAACAAAGACAAACCCTCATTTGCTCTAACCAGTCTTTTAAGTTCCCTATGCAGCAAATGATCCCATACATTTTCACAAAACTGGTCTCGTAATACTATGTCAGAGTTAATAATGGAACCTGATTTGGATTGTTTCACCTTATCCATAAGCTCCATAAGTGCATTACAGGAAGAAGAATTTTATTCATTTCAATTCAAAGAAATTCAATGCAATCACAATACATATGAATGTCACATAATCCAGCAAAATATAATTATACAATAGATTAACTTTCTAGATAGTACATGTCGATATCGACCTTATATACACTCACCTAAAGGATTATTAGGAACACCATACTAATGCGGTGTTTGACCCCCTTTCGCCTTCAGAACTGCCTTAATTCTACGTGGCATTGATTCAACAAGGTGTTGAAAGCATTCTTTAGAAATGTTGGCCCATATTGATAGGATAGCATCTTGCAGTTGATGGAGATTTGTGGGATGC